AAGATATTTTACATATTGAACCAAGCGAAGACAGGATATCAACGAGTTATATTATGATGGAGCAGCTAAGGATCAGTGAATCGAGAGTTTTGCTGGATTAATTAATTGCTAATGCAACCAACATTTCACCTGAGCATAGGTATTGAGGGATGAATAGCACCTACTAATATCCTAAACATCACTAATTTTGAAGTTGAGCGAGATTTTCAGTCAGCTATATCACTTTTAATGGGAAATGCTATCACTCATCGTCATTCTGCAATGATCATGACTATGGAATACTCAAGCAGAAATTTGGAGTCATAATTGAGCCATACTGTGAAGGGAAAACATGCAACAGATAGAAAATGCAGGTTGCAAGAAGGCTGCCTAAAAGTCACGGCAAATACTATTCCAACAAAAGTTGCCAACAAAAGCTTGAATATGTATGTATCAAATTAGCTGCAAATATCTAAAGCCAATATTTTATACCTTCATTTGATACAAACTCGCCAGTCCAAGGTTTAGACCAATCGCAGTTCATCAACAACACTATTAAATCAAAACCCATACCTTGTTAAGCAAAAAACCCAATCTTTTTTTTTTCAGCTCTAATTAACGTCATCACATATGGTATGTACAAACATCTACACCATTACCACATACCAAACAAAATTAAAAATGAAAAAAGCATAATTCTCAAACTCAACTGATAACAAAAACCCATATATAAAAAACTTGTAAGCTGGAGAAAGAGTACCATGGTGACGACACCGCGTTTGGCGCGAGAGGCGGAGGAATAAGGATTGAGGGAGATGGGTCGGATTTTATGACCCGAAAAGTCCCCTGATACGCTGCCACCCACGAAAGGAGAAAGAAAGCTGGTGGATAAAAAGGCTCCTACAGAAGAAGGAGCAGATAGAATCGAGTTCGAGTTCGGGTTCTGACATGGGGATGCCAACTTAATTCGGGTCGTTGGAAGGAAGTGAGAAGCCATTGTTGTTACTAACAAAGAGTAATAGCTCAGAGAAGGAAAGATTGGCTTCAGCCTTCGGTGGAGGTTTTTGTATTAGAGAAGGGATGGCAAAGACGCGAGCCGGCTAATTTTGCGCCACATTACCCGAGCGGCCCTTGTCCCGTCAACTACTTGGTTAACTTTTTTTTTTTTTTACTAGTCTTTCCCCCGTGCGATACACAAATTTATATTAAGTGATAAACAATTTTAATATGAGAAACCTATGCTAATTGATTTTTCAATCCAATTAGATGCAAAACACTTCATAAAATTAACTTGCGAGTGAATGAGTAATTTTAAATAAAAATATATACACCACATAACTAATTCAAATTTTGAAAAAT